GCACGGAGAGAGTAGAGTTCGTTATTGGAATTAACTGTGAGGGACTTTTAAACCTAGGCCTGTGTATGGCCTTCAATTGAAGCTGCTTCTGCTCCGCCACTCTGCCATTGGACTCTTGATAGTCGACGACCTTTCAGGTGTGGGAACTCTAGGTTCCGGGGCAGCATCATCACTGCAGGGATCATCATGGCTCCTGGAACAACAGTTGGAGCAGATGTCGCTGCGGTGCTCGCAGAGGGTGTGGATGTTGAAAAAGTCTGAAAACAATTTTCAAGTCCGTTATAACCCTCTTGCAGGCCCTTGACGGCTTGTGTCAATGCTGTAATGTGCTGGCAAATCTCTTCCAGAGGAGAGGCCCCTCTCTCAGGCTCCGACATGGCCTTCTGGTACTGTCACGTACCTGGTTGGGGAGCCTGACGTGGAGAGGAGGCATCCTTTTACTACTCCTGCTCGGAGCCCCTGATAGTGGAAACAGAGGGCGCGGAGCCAGGAGTGGCACTAGTGCTGGGTGGGTCTGGATCTGATGGTAGGCAGGTGAAGACCCAGAAGATCCAGATGTAGGCCAGGTGTGGATGCAGGGATGTGGGTGCAGCAGAAGGTAGGTATGGCGGTAACCAGGGTGCAGGCCAGGTGCAGGAACGTAGGTGCAGCAGCAGGTAAGTATGGCGGTAACCAGGATACAGGCCAGGTGCAGATACAGGTATGTATGTGCAGCAGTGTCAGACAAATCGAGTCAGGATCGTTCGAGCGAATCAGGTACAAGGGAGCAGGCAAGTGGATAGTGAGGGATAAGCCGGGGTTGGTGAAGGCGGAGTTCTTTCTTAATCAAGGTCAGACCAGATACAGGCAGAAGAATCAGGTTATGGAGTGTGGAACGTTATAGAGCAAAAGGTATAGGCTAAACTGTACTGGTGATTTAAATAGCTCGCCTTGCGGTGATGTGTACGCTAGTGCACATGCGCGCACTCACACGTTCCTGCACATGTGCGCCCGCACGCTCCGGCGCATGCGCACTCGAAGAGATCCGGTGCTGACGCATGGCTGCATGGGGGAGAGATCCCTGACACTTGTATTAAAAGAGGTATAGACTCCAGAGAGAGAGATAGAATTTCCCCCGGTACAAATTATTAGTAAGACCTCATCTGGAATATGTAGTTCAATTTAGGGCACCAATTCACAAAAATAACATTGAGGAAATGGAGAAAGTACAGAGAAGGGCAACCAAACTGATAAGAGGCATGGAGGAGAGCAGCTATGAGGAAAGATTAGAGGAACTGAATTTCCTCTATGATTTTGTCCCTCAGGGATTGGCTGAGACCACATGAATATTCAGGCCCAGGGTCTGCCTCTTCCAGGCCACCACAGTCTACAACCCACTAGAAGGCATGGAGAAGTAGTTGAGCCTCAAGCCAGCAAGATCTAGAATAGACAAAAATAATCACACACAGCTCCAATGATTAGAGGAGAAAAATAAAAAGTGGGGGTTGTGTCCTATGAAGATGATGGAAAAAAATGATGCTGTGCTACAAAATAACTGGGGAAACCCAACCCTGTGCGCAGGAAGAATATTTATTGTTGTATGTCCTATAAAGATGTTGCTGACAAATGGTTGGCATTCTAGTAATTATCTACCATTTTTTAGGCCAAACTACTATGTAACTAAATGACATTAGACTGTTTTGTCCAAATATAGGTTTACATAAAATAGCATAATATACCATCACAAGAATCTGTGTGAATGATTTTTTTGTTTATTTTCTTGTTTTACTTTTTTCTCCATAAAACACATTCCATAGGAGGGAAGATCCTTTTTAATTGTAATTAGCCCCCTGAGATGTGACATCATTTGTAGCTCTATTCCAATTCCCTGTGGCTCTATAATGAGATATCATAAACTATAAAATATGACAAATGATCTTCACGCTAAGTGACAGCTGACACCAAGACTCACTTCCATGATTATTTGTGTGTTTCCATCTTGTGCCAAGGAGTTGGGAAGTCTGTAGATGAACCAGAGCTAGGCACAGCAAGTGGCCTAACATCATCACCAGCATGGTATGTGCATAACCGGCATTTCCTTACAAAATTGGGCTGCTTTTAAGAGGACTGAGACAGAAATGTACATTTTTTTTTCAATAAAGCTTACTTTTTTTTTTTAATTATTCTTTATGCCTGTTTAAAGTTTTTTTTGGCACAGAAGCTTTTACAACTTTACATTGTATTATGTAGGCATTGCTTCTGACCATTTATAGCTTATGTATAATAAACAGTTTAATTCCTCAACTTTGGAGAATGAATAGAACAATACAATAAATACTTTTAAATCCCAGTAAATGATTGCATGTTGAGAGCTGTCAGTTTTAAAGTAGTAAACATAGTCAAAATGTAGAGCCATTTATTGCAGACTGCTGTTATGCAAAACTGCAAGCTTGTAGCACAGAAGGATCCAATATATAGAGCCATTTATCCAAATGTACACCCAGAACCTCTGGTTCATAGACAAGATACAGCCTAAATATAGAGCCATTTTTCCAACTGTCCATCCAGAGCCTCTGGTTTATAGACCGGATTCATCCTAAATGTAGAGCCATTTATCCAACTGTCCATCCAGAGCCTCTGGTTTATAGACTGGATACATCCTAAATATAGAGCCATTTATCCAACTGTCCATCCAGAGCCTCTGGTTTATAGACCGGATACATCCTAAATATAGAGCCATTTATCCAACTGTCCATCCAGAGCCTCTGGTTTATAGACCGGATACATCCTAAATATAGAACCATTTATCCAACTGTCCATCTAGAGCCTCTGGTTTATAGACCGGATACATCCTAAATATAGAGCCATTTATCCATTTGGTCATCCAGAGCCTCTGGTTTATAGACCGGATACATCCTAAATATAGAGCCATTTATCCATTTGGTCATCCAGAGCCTCTGGTTTATAGACCAGATACATCCTAAATATAGAACCATTTATCCAACTGTCCATCCAGAGCCTCTGGTTTATAGACCGGATACATCCTAAATATAGAACCATTTATCCAACTGTCCATCCAGAGCCTCTGGTTTATAGAACGGATACATCCTAAATATAGAACCATTTACCCATTTGGCCATCCAGAGCCTCTGGTTTATAGACCAGATACATCCTAAATACAGAGCCATTTATCCAACTGTCCATTCAGAGCCTCTGGTTTATAAACCAGATACATCCGAAATATAAAACCAATTATCCAACAATTTTTTCTGAACATCTGGTTGATAGAACAGATACATTGTAAATATTGAACCATTAATCCAACAGTTTTATAGCTCAGATACAAAATGTAATAATCTTGTATAATATTGGTTTTAAATTGTTATCTCAGTTTAGTGACAGGTAGACCATGGATTTTATTGTATTAGGCTTTGGTAATGATGAGATAGTAAAAGCAGACAGATAGACCACTTGGTTTTTCCCCGTGAGCACCCTATTATGTTTCTATCTTACCTTGCCCATTCAGAGAAATGTAGTAGGCCTTCTTGTTCATTCACTTGCTGGAGCCCCTTGAAAATATTTGAATGGGGGAGTGCTGAGAAAAAGGCCATTGTAAGATTTGGTTGGCATAGGTAAGAACATATAAAGATTTGGGGACATTCCCAAGGTGCAGTACTACGTAGTGAGAAATCAGATGAAGTCACATATGTACTTGTACAAAGATGTAATTCATGGGGTTCTAGGATGTCCTTGGGGCAGTGGAGCAGCATGGGTAAGGAAGCTAAGTACAGGTTCATCTTAAAACCAATCTCATGTTTATCCCTAGCTTTAGAAAACAGAAAAAGCAGTGTATAAAAGGGAGATATTGGTTCATATTCAAATCCATGAACAAAACAGTAATATATTGCAACTTGAGAGTCCTTAGATGTGGTGTCAGTATTCGTTTTCTATTTTTGAGGGCTTTTCCCCTTTTATTTTCCCCTGGTAATCATGCCAGTAACATTTCCTTCTAATTAGGGCTACTAAAATGTTCCTCACTCTTCATGTCCATTACATGGTGATGGGGGAATTGTAATGCACAGAAAGTAGCTTTAAAAGGAAGATAAACTTGTCTGAGACATCAGTCTTGCTCAGAGGAAAAGATTGCATTTCTGACTCAATTAATAGATATTCTTCTGTATTTGATGAAAATGTACTTAGCCCGAAAAAAGGAAACTCATGTAGTTATTGTAGACAAGAATTGGTAAGCTGCAATTTATTACATTTTTGTTCTTGGGTCTATGTAGCCCCTAATTATATTTCTGTAGAGTATTAGAAATATGAGAGCACCACATTAGTTGAATACATCCAGTAGAGGGTTTTATTTGACATGTTACAAGAATGGAAAGCCTGCATGTTTCAGGAACCCCAACTGCTCATTCATGAGGATTAAAAATGAGATGAGTTTCTAGTTTTCTCAAAATTGATTTGAAAATAATGAATGTACGCAACAAATGCCAAAAAACAATTAATTCTAACATAATGAATATAAAGAAACAAAATTCTTAACTTAACAAACAAATCTGATACCAAACATATTTTTCCATCCTGAGCATCTCTACGTTCCAATACTCTACAGACCTCTCCAGGAACCCTTGGCGATATCCCTTTTGAGGGAGAGTTGCCACCAAAATGTTTCAGATTTTGGAACACCGATTCTCGTGGACTCTGGAGTCCAGCACTCCTACAGTTCACGTCTTAAATGTATTTCAGAAGAACAATAAAAGAATGAGGGTTTAAGATGAGTAGAGTGGAAGATGTGAGAGAACATTTGGTAAAATAATTATGACTGACCTAATGTGGTAAACACAACAAAGCCTTTCATTTGCCTTTCCTTCACTTTCTTCCTGTAACAACCTGTTTCATCATTTTTCTCTGTCATTATTACCTGATGCTTAATATTTATTTTGCATTCTGTCCTCTACATAATACTTACTATTTGTATTATTTTCCCCCAGGCCACATGTGGTCAGAACAAAACAATGGTGACAGAGATGTTTCTTGTGGGGTTCGGGAATCTCCAACATATAAATAATTGTATTTTTGTTTTGTTCCTCATGGCTTATGTGGCCACAGTAACAGGGAACATGTTAATTATAACCTTGATATCTACCAGTTCAAGTCTTCAGTCCCCCATGTACTTTTTTCTCAGCAATCTATCTGCCTGTGAAGTTTTTCTGACCACCACGATCACACCTAACATGCTGTACATTGTATGGTTGAATGGAGGTTTTGTATCTTTCTATGGTTGTATCATCCAATATTACCTGGCATCCTCAACAGGTAGTGCAGAATGTCTTCTCTTAACTGTTATGGCGTATGACAGACATTTGGCCATTTGCAACCCTCTGAGATACTCTTCCATCATGAACTACAACACTCGTAACCATCTTGTAACTTGGGCATGGGTGGTTGGTTTTACAGTGATGTTTATGTTGATAATTACGATCTACCACTTACAGTTCTGTGGTTCAAACACTATTGACCATTTTTATTGTGATCTAGCTCCACTTCTGCGGCTGTCTACTTCAGACACATCGCCGGTGGACATGGAAGTCATCTTCATAACCATTTTTCTTGGGGTTATCACTTTTGTCTTGATCATAGTCAGCTATATCTCCATATTTTCCACCATCCTGAAAATTTCCTCAAGGTCCGGAAGGCAAAAAACCTTCTCCACATGCAGTTCACATCTAGCTTCTGTTTCCATGTACTGTGGATCAACATGTATCACGTATATGGTTCCTTCTCAGCAAAATGTGAAGATAAACAAGTTGTCCTCTCTGTTATACACTGTCGTAATTCCCCTTTTGAATCCAATTATTTATAGTTTAAGGAACCAGGAAATGATAGACTGTTTTAAATATTATTTTAAAATCATTAAAAGGTAACAGTCAATGTGTGGCGTTTTTGTAATTTTTTTTTTTTTTGTTTCAAAAACGTTTTATTGAAGTATGAAAGGTAAACAAGTGGTAGACAGATACGGATCGCAGTCCATGCACATTCTCTCATACATACTCCCGTAACGCAGACGGGATCAGGAAAATATATTAATGTATAAAACCTCAGGAAACGGAATTCCACAGTAAGACAAATGTAATAGACGTAACCATAGCCATACTGTCAGTAGCAAATACTTTAGATAATTATGGTATACACTAGACTCTATGTAAGGAGAGTACACATAATAGGATTATGAAGTGGTCGACAAAAGTATCCTCTCAAGGCATCTATGGCATATAATTCCATCTCTAAAAAGTGTGGGTTAATGTTGTGGAGTATTGTTACATCTGTATAGCTATGAGAGTTCCGTACCTAATGAGAACAATAGCTGAGTAGAATATGAGAAAAGAGGGTGCAAAAGAGAGAACGAAAAGAAAAGATAGAGAGGAGCGTGGGGATGGAGGAAGAATATGAGATGTGATATCATAATGAGGCGGGAGGGGGGGCACGCACATGACAATGGGGAGAGAGGGAGGGAGAGAGAAGGAGAAGATATATAAAAAAAAAAAAAAAAGGGGGGGAGGTGAGGTTTATATTTAAATAAGCATAACCAAACCAGTTGCATCTATTAGTAACAGCCTAGCTGGATCGGATACCATCTTTTTAATTAGGGATATAATTCAGTGAATGCCCGTTAATGGAGTTATTGCCGAGGTGAAAGTTTTAGAAGTCTTCTGTGTCTCCAAGTCTTTCTCACTCAATCCTTCAGCAAACCATGGTAAGTATCAGTAGATTGGAAATGAGTCCAACATGCCCAGGTCTTCCTGAATCGCTCAGGATGTTCTTTTGCCACTGAGATCAGTTCCTCCATTTCCTCTATCCTCTTGATCCTAAGAATCCACTCTCGTACGGTGGGAATATAGACTGATCGCCAATGGACGGGGATACACTGCTTTGCCGCATTTATCATGTGCAAAGCAAGGGATTTACGGTAATTCCTCACCGGAAGTGAGGAGTGATGGAGTAGACATTGTGCTGGTGTAAAGTCTAGGGTGTAAGTGGTTACTTGTCTAATTATGTCCAAAACTTTTCTCCAGAAGGGCTGCAGCAGCGGGCATTCCCACCATATATGTAGAAGAGTACCAGTTGCCTGGGAACATCTCCAGCATAAATCTGGCACTTTAGGATCAAATTTATGAATCACAGATGGAACTCTGTATCATCTGGAAAAAAACTTTGTAGTTGCTTTCTTGTGTAGAAACACATATGGAACCTTTATGTATGTGGTCATAAATGTGGTCCCAGTCCTCAGGTGAGATTGAAATGTTTAGATCACGCTGCCAGGCTGCACAGGCCTTCGATGAGTGAGATGTGTTGGCACTTTCCAATAGGGAATATATTTTGGATATTACATGCCTCTGTGGGAGATCTGTAAAGCAGAGTTTTTCAAAAGCAGTAAGAGGTCTGGAATAATCCTGAAGATGTGGGGAGTTACGTAAGAAGTGGTGGATTTGTCTATACATCCAAGGTGTTAAGGTAAGGGATGGCCACGTCTTTGTAATGTCTTCTCTAGACAGGAGCTTAGAATCTTTGAGGAATTGACGCACTGTTAGGTTATCTTCCCGTTTATACCCAGCGAGAAAGGTCATAGACATCCCTGGAATAAAGTCCGGGTTCAATTTGATTGGGGTGAGAGGGCTCGGAGAGGAAGAAAGTACTTTTTCCTGAAACACTTGCGAGCTACAGCGTAAAGTGGGACCTATAAGTGGGTGCATCCGAAATTCAGAAGGGACGTGGGTGGATTTCAGCCATGGGGAAGTGGAAAGTGGTATCTTTGAAAAATCAGCCTCCAGACCGACTCAGGTCTTACGAATGTGATTCGTGGTCCAGTCTACTAATCTGGCTAGGTGGCAAGACCTGTAGTAACGAGTAATATCCGGTAATCCGATACCTCCATTCTTCTTGGGCATAGTGAGTTGGGTGAAGCTGATTCTTGGGCGTTTATCATGCCAAAGAAAGGAGGAGCAGAGCGTATTATACGAATGAAAGAATGACTTTGGTAATTGAATTGGTATCGTTTGTAATAAATATAATATTTCTGGGGAGCACGTTCATCTTAAGAATAGCTGCTCTACCAAACCAAGAGAACCAAGGTTTATTCCACGTCTGAAGGTCTTTGGAAATGTTACGCAAGAGGGGTAGAAAATTTGTTGTATATAGTTCTGTAAGATGGGATGGTAGTTGGATACCTAAATAAGTGATAGCTTCTCGTTGCTAGGTAAAGGGAAAATTTGATGTCGCTTGTTTAATCACCTCCGGATTTAATGATACATTGAGCGCTTGGGATTTAGAAAAGTTAATTTTGAAGTTAGCCAAATATTGAAATAATTTGAAATCTTGTAACAAATTAGGTATCGTGATATGTGGTTCTGTCAGGAAAAGCAGTATGTCGTCAGCAAAGGCTGCCACTTTATGCGTTTTGCCATTGATCAAAATCCCTTTAATGTTGGTATTATCTTTAATGCAATTCAATAAGGGCTCCAGTGTAAGAATGAACAAGAGAGGTGACAGTGGGCATCCCTGTCTGGTCCCGTTGCTGATCAGAAAGGATTCTGATAGGTGTCCGTTCACTCGCACTCTCGCCGTGGGGGCTTTATATAAAGACATAATAAATGTCAGAAAGCGCAAAGGCAGTCCAATGCCAATCAAAACTGCCTCCAGATAATCCCAAGCTAGTCTGTCAAACGCTTTCTCGGCGTCTAAAGAAAGAAAGAATCCGGACTGTTGATTTTGGTTAACCAATGATGTATATTTATGGCCCTTATTGTGTTATCTCTGGCTTCTCTTCCCAGAACAAAACCCACCTGATCCGGAGATATGATGGATTCTATAACACGTAGTAGACGGTTAGCCAGAATCTTGGCAAAGATCTTTAGATCAACATTCAATGGAGAGATCGGTAGGTAGTTCGCTGGGGACGTGTGATCCTTATTCTCTTTGGGTATAACCGTAATGTGAGCCTCAGAAAGATGGCTCATGGACTGCCCTGGAGTGTTTAATGAATTGAAGGCCTGTAGAAATGGGAGTGCTAATACGTCAAGGAAAGATTTGTAATAAGAATTAATAAAATCGTCAGGTCCTGGACTTTTACCAGGTTTCAACTGCGTAATAGCCTGTTGTAGTTCCGATAACATCAGAGCACCCTCTAAATCTTTGGCTTGCGATCTAGAGATCGGTTTTAGGAAGATATTGCGTGAGGAACGACTGTATGATGACCTCACGTGGCCTAGTATCAACTGCTGGTTTGGACGGTAAAGATAATTTTTTATTTTTTTTTTTCCAAAAAAGTTTTATTGAAGTAAGAAAGACAAAACAGATCATAGATAGATACGGATCGCAGTCCATGCACATCTTCATACACGTTCTCCCGTATCGCAGACGGGAACAGGACATTAGACTAAATTCTAGATCAACATGAATCTAAGTCCCACAGTAAGGCATATGCAAAAAATATAACCATAGCAGTACTAATAACAGTATGTAATTTTAGATGAATATGGTATACATTAGTCTCTATGTAGAGAGAGCTCAAGTATCAAGACTATGAAGTGCAAGACAAAAGTGTTATCTCAAGGCATATACTTCTCAAGTTTCCATATCCGAAAAGCGTGGGTTAGTTTATAGATTATTGTTACACTTGTATATCTATAAGTGTTCTGAACCTTATGAAAAATATAGCTAGTTAAAATATGAGGAAAAGGGTGCAAAAGAGAGAAAGAGAAGAAAAGAAAGAGATGAGTATGGGAATGGAGGAAGAATATGAGATGTAATATCAGAATGAGGTGGGGTGGAACATGGAGGTCATATAGATAGGGAGGATGGGGAAAGAGAAAAAAAAAAAAGGGGGGGGGGTGAGGGGGTTGGGGGGAGGATGAGGTATAGAATTAAACAGGCATATCCAAACCAATCACATCAATTCGCATCGGCTTGACTGTAACTAATTATATCTTTAATTAGGGGTATAGTCCAGTTAAAGTCCAGTTAAAGTCCAGTAATGGAGTTATTCCTGAGGTGAAAGTTCTAGAGGCCTTCCATGTCTCCAAATCTTTCTCGCTCATTCCTTCATTAAGCCATGATAAGTATCAGTAGATTGGAAGTGAGCCCAACATGCCCATGTCTTCCTGAATCGCTCGGGGTGTTCTTTTGCCACTGAGATCAGCTCCTCCATTTCCGCGATCCTATTGATCCTAAGAATCCACTCTCGCACGGTGGGAATATAATCTGATCGCCAATGAACCGGAATACACTGCTTTGCCGCATTTATCATGTGTAATGCAAGCGACTTACGATAAGTCCTCACAGGAAGTGAGGAGTGATGAAGTAGACATTGTGCTGGGGTAAAGTCTAGGGTGTATGTAGGCACTTGTGCGATTATGTCCAAAACTTTTCTCCAAAAGGGCTGCAGCATCGGGCAATCCCACCATATATGCAGAAGAGTACCTGTCGCCTGGCAGCCTCTCCAGCATAAATCTGGAACGTTAGGATCAAATTTATGAATCACTGATGGAACTCTGTACCATCTGGAAAATACTTTATAGTTGCTTTCTTGTGTAGAAACACATATGGAGCCTTTATGCATGTGGTCATAAATTTGGTCCCAGTCCTCTGGAGAGAATGGAGTTTGTAGATCACGTTGCCAGGCTGCACAAGCCCTATGCAAATGAGAGGCATTGGCACTTTCCAAAAAAGAATATATCTTAGAAATTACATGCCTCTGAGGGAGGTCTGTAAAGCAGAGCTTCTCGAATGCAGTCATCGGTCTTGAATAATCCTGCAAATGTGGGGAGTTACGTAAGAAGTGGTGGATTTGTCTATACATCCAAGGCGTTAGAGTGAGGGATGGCCACGCCAATGTAATGTCTTCTCTAGATAAGAGCTTAGAGTCTTT